CCTATACTGTTGTATCCTGCAAAATTATCCTTTGAAATCAATGGGGAAATTAGATATTTCCACAACAAAGAAATTTCATGAACTTGAAAACAGCACTACAAGCAATTCTAAACAATATCCTAGAAAAAAACAATGAAGGTCACAACTCCATGAGGCCCAACAGAAGGAAGATGCCAGGCAAGGTAAGAAACTAAAGGGAAAGGAGGAAAAATAAATAAAAGAGCCAAGAAAAGTAAAACATCATGAGAAGGATGAATCAATATCTATCAATTATAACCATCAATGTTAATGGCTTCAATTCACCAAGCAATAGAAATAGATTGACATAATGGATTAAGAAGCAAAGTCCAACAATACGCAGTATACAACAAACACACCTAATTAAAAAAAAACTCATAGGCTGAAAGTAAAAGGATGGAAAACAATTCTGCATGCCACAGGGACCAAGAAAAAAGCAGGGTTTAGCAATCTTATTTGCAGACAAAGTAGATTTCAAATAAAAACTAATTAAGAGAGACAAAGATGGTGACCACACCCTTGTGAAGGGAACAATCCATGAGGAAGAGTTGACAATCATAAATATACTTGCACCAAATACGAATGCCCCCAACTATACAAAACAAATATTAATGGACATGAAAAAACCAAATAAGCACTGTTACAATTGTAGTAGGGGACCTCAATAACCCACTGTCACAAATGGATCACTTAGATAAAAAATTAACAACAAAATTTTAGAACTGAACCAAGCTCTTGAACAAATGGACTTAATAGATGTTTACAGAGTGTTCCACCCCACGAAATCAGAATGCACATTCTTTTCAGCTACACATGGGTCATTCTCCAGAATAGGCCACACTAGCTCATAGGACATGTCTAAGTAAATGTAAAAGAATTGAAGTTACAACCTGTATATTATCAGATCATAGTGCAATAAAATTGGAAATCTATGACATAAGAAACCCCAAAACTCACACAAACACATGGAAATTGAATAACACCCTCCTGAACAACCAATGAGTCACAGGGGAAATTAAAGAAAAAATTAAACAGTTTCTACAAGTAAAAGATAATGCCAGTACAACATACAGGAATCTATGGGATACAATGAAAGCAGTGTTATGAGGGAAACTCATAGCAGTGAATGCCCATATTAGGAAGACAGAGAGAACTCAAATAAATAACCTAATGCAGAACCTCAAGCCCCTAGAAAAAGAAGAGCATAACAAACCCAAAGCTCATACAAGACAGGAAATTATAGGGCCAGGGATTTAGCTCAGTGGTTCTGGAGCCTGCCTGGCAAGCACAAGGTCCTGAGTTCGATCCCGAGTACCAAAAAAAAAAGACAGGAAATTATAAAGATCAGATGAGAAATCAATGCAATGGAGACTAGAGAATGATATAAAAAATCAATAAATCAAAAAGTTGGTTTTTCAAACAATAAATAAAATTGATAAACCTTTAGCCAACCTTATCAACAAAAGGGAAAAAAAGCCCAAATCTATGCAGTTAGGAATTAAAAGTGTGAAATTACAGCAGACCCAACAGAAATCCAGAGGATTGTCAATACCTACTTTGAGAACCTCTACCCTAATAAGTGGAAAACACAGAAGAAATGGACACATTCCTAGATACATATGAATTGCCAAAGTTAAAGGAAGAAGATATAGAAATTCTAAACAGTCCAATTTCAATGAATGAAAACGAAAATGTAATAAAAAATTTATCAACAAAGAAAAGCCTAGATCCTGATTGGTTCACTGCTGAATTCTACAAGACATTTAAAGAAGAACTATCACCATTACTCTTTAAACTCATCAAGGAAATTGAAAGGGAAGCAATGCTTCCAAATTCATTCCTGGAAGCAAGTGTTACTTGGATTCCAAAACCAGGGAAAGACCCAACCCAAAAACAGAACTACAGGCCAATCTCCCTAATGAACATTGATGCAAATATCCTCAAGAAGATATTGCCAAACAAAATACAGAGGATCATCAAGAAGATCATACACCCTGACCAAGTCAGATTTATCCCAGGGATGCAAGGATGGTTCAACATACATAAATCAATAAATGCTATATACTTTATTAACAGAGTCAAGGGCAAAAACCATATGATCATCTCAATAGATGCAGAGAAGGCATTTGACAAAATCCAACACCCATTCATGATAAAAACTCTACAGAAATTTGGAAAAGAAGTTCTTTATCTCAACCTGATTAAGGCTATCTATAAAAAACCAACAGCCAACATCATACTAAATGGTCAAAAACTGAAAACTTTTACACTAAATTCAGGAACAAGACAAGTATATCTGCTATCACCACTCCTGTTCAATATAGTTTCAACATTAGCCACAGCAATTAAAAAAGAGAAAGAAATAAAAGGAAGAAAGATAAGAAAGGAAGAAGATAAACTGTCACTATTTGCTAATGATAGGATACTTTACATAGCAGACCCAAAAAATTCCACCAAAAGACTTTAGACTTAAGTAACAGATTCAGTAGAGTAGCTGGATGTAAGGTAAACACTCAAAAAATAATAGCCTTCTTATACACAAGTAACTGACTCACTGAGAGAGAAATTAGGGAAATAATTCCTTTTACAATAGCATTCAAAAAATGAAATATCCAGGAATCAATCTAACAAAGGAATCAAAAGACCTCTACAATGAAAACTACAGCACTCTGAAAAGTAGACCAAGGAGGATGTAGGAAAATGGAAAGACATCCCTTGTTCCTGGGTAGGAAGAACCCATATAGTGAAAATGGCCATACTTCCAAAAGTACTATATAGATGTCATGTAATGCTAATTGAAATTCCAACAATATACTTCACAGAACTAGAGAAAATAATCCAAAAATTCATTTGGACCAGAAGAGACCTAGAATAGCAAAAGAAGTTCTAGGCAACAGAGACATGGCTGGGGCTATCACAATCCCTAACTTGAAACTATACTACAAAGCTACTGTGATAAAACAGCATGGAACTGGCAAAAGAATAAATCTGAGGATCAGTGGAATAGATTAGAAGATGCTGAAACAACTCCAGACATACTCAGCCACCTCCTCTTTGACAAAGGAGCCAACCAGCCTCATTGGAGGAACGATAGCCTATTTAATAAATGGTGTTGGAAAAACTGGATTTCAACTTGCCAAAGATTAAAACTAGACCCATACCTATCACCATGCACTAAACTAAGATCAAAGTGGATTAAAGATCTAAATATTAAGACAGAAACACTAAATACTTGCTGGAAGATAAGTTAGGTAGAACTCTTCTAAACATTGGGATAGGAAAAGACTTTATGAAGAAAACCTCAGTAGCACAAGAACTAGAACAAAGAATTAACAACTGGGATCTCATCTCATTAAAAAGTTTCTACACTGCAAGAGCAACCACCAACAGAGCTAAGAGACAACCTACAATGTGGGAAGAAATTTTTAGCAGCTGTACCTTAGACAAAGGACTACTATTTAGAATATATAAAGGACTGAAAAAAATCAGACCTCTCAAATTCAGAGACCCAATTGGAAAATGGACATCTGAAATGAACAGACATTTCTCAGACAAAGAAGTAAAAGCAGCAAATAAATATATGAAAAAAGTGTTCAACAGCACTGGTCATTCGAGAGATGCAGATGAAAACAACACCAAAATTTCACCTCATCCCAGAAAGAATTGCTGCTATCAAGAAATCGACACATAAAAAATATTGGCAGCGGTGTGAGGAGAAACGAACCCTTCTCTATTGTTGGTGGGAGTGCAGACTGGTGCAACCATTGTGGAAATCAGTATGGAGATATCTCAAAGAACTAGGGCTAGAGGTCCCATTTGATTCAGCTATTTATCTACTGGGTATCTTCCCAAAATAATTAAAAGAATCATATCACAGCCATATATGTGCACCCATGTTTATAACAGCATAGTTTGTAATAACTAAAGCTTGTAAACAGCCCAAGTGCCAATCAACTGGAAACTGGATAAATATGTGGTTCTTTTATAAAATGGAGTACTACTCAGCCATAAAGAATAAGAAACTAGAGACATTTATAGATAAATGGATGCATATTGAGGCCATACTCTTAAGTGAAATAAATAGGACAAACATGTAAATACTGAATAGTTTCTCTAGTGTGAGAAACTGAATGTTTAAATAAAGATTAAAATGATTAAAATGAATAATTGATAATTTGAAATAGGAAGAAAAGTTCCAAAGATGTAGGGGTGGTGGGAGGGGCAGGGGAAAGGAAAGAATGGAAAGGAAAAATTATGAGAAAAGAAAAAAATGGAAATGAAATCTATGTAAATAGGAAATGGTGGAGGGAGTGAAGGGCACACAGGTAACGGGGAAAAATAAGAACCGAAATACATCATGTACAGGTACAAGCACCCAATGATAAATGTAAATGTATTGTATACCTAAAATGTATGTGTAAAAGAATTTAAGGAAAAAAAATGAGCATAACTTCTGACAGACACCTCACCAAAGAAAATGTACAGATAGTAATCAACTATATGAAAAGATGCTTAATATCACTTTTTATTAGGAGGTATACTGCAATGGTGAATATATGATGTTATGGATTTTGGAAAAATCCATAGGGCTGTACAACACAAATGTGAATATTAATGCAAACTCTGGACTATAGCTAATAATAACATTAATGTTTATTCATCAATTGCATGAAATACAGAAGTATACCATTTCAAAGTCAGGTATTAATAAAAGGAGAACTGTTGAAGGTAGAAAGAGATTATATAGAATTTTATAATTTATACTCAATTATTTAAACCAAAATTATTTTAAGAAACAAAGCATACAGTACTAATTTTAAAAACCATGACCACCCATGCAACAGTTTAAAAAATACCCTTGGAGTGCAGTTCACAAATTTTCCTATATATCTAGGACTTCTGTGCATGTATCATGAAGATTCATTTCAGTTTTCATTCAATCCGCATTTTTAATTTAAGAAATCCTGTATTCACTTTCTTACCTCAGGAATAAAAACTGGCATTCTACTGTTCTACTTTGATTCTCCAATGCTTGACCTTCAGTGTTTCATATTCAGAAGAGAAATGAATTTAGGTCTTAGTGTGAGGACAGAATGCAGCACCCTCCTTCCAGGCGGGCAGGCCACTTCATTTCTGAGAAATAAAATCCTAATTTAGGAAAATAGGATTCAACTCAACTTTGAATGGGTGACACCATTTCAGAAAAATAGAAACTTATCTTATAAAAACAGATCTTAGCTCAACCTACCATGCAACTTCCCTCTATCCCTTTCTGCCCAATCATACTTACCCAGGTCTCCTAAATCCAGAGACAACTCTGTATGAAACCAGAACACCTTGACCAGGGGCCACTCATGGAGTCACGACCCAAGCATACAGTCACCAAGGCGATAAGATTTTCATTTGAAGGGGTTGGGGATTTAGCTCAGTGGCACTGTGGCTGCCTTGCAAGCCCCAGGTTTGATCTCCACTGAAAGAACAACAAAAACAACCACCACCACCACCACAAACAGTGGCTGTATTATCTTCTTGGATACACAGGAGGTCTTCTGTGAGCTAAAAATTAGGCCCCTTAATTAAAAAGGGTTAAAGTTTATCGACTAAAAAAATTACTGAAATGCTAATGTACATTTAGAGGGGATACACATATATATTTAATTTAAAATGCCTCGTGCAAGGTCCCAGCCAGGGCCCCACCAAAGTCACTTTTTCTTGCTGTTATATTTTAAGAGATTTATTTTTGTTTCATAGTTAGTACATTATTTGCAAGTAATTCTTATGCTTACAAGCTGACATCAGCTACTGCCTCTATTCTGCTCTGCTTTTTCTAATATAATTTGAAGACTACATTCAAATTCATACCTCACTTCCCTTCTTTGTAGTTCTTTTATAAACTTGTCTCTTATTTCAAGTAATGAACTCTATCAGATATGATTCTCAAATTCTCAATTTTTTTCTTATTTCATCTCCACTGTTTCATTTATTTTCAATTTTTAAAAAAGAAAAGAGCATCAGAAAATAGTGAAAGTATTCTTAACCTTTGAAATGATATCATTAAAAGAGTAAGAGTAATCATGTATTGGATGATCATAATATATGAATGAGTTAACTGAATGACACCAATGCTATAAGAGAAAGGAGAAGAAGGTAGAATTAGAAAAACTGGTACAAGGTCCCAGGTATACAATGCTCATGAAGCATCAGTGTTATTTAAAGGTAGATTTAGAATAGTTTTAAATGTAAATTGGTATTCTTTTAAATTACAATAAATACTGAGAATACAAAATAGAAGCAATATAATATGCTCATGTAAAATCAGAGAGGCTAGATGAAAGCAGAGGGGAAGAATAAATAATGAACCACAGCAGCAAATACAAAGCAGGTAAAAACAACATGGTAAATATAAATCCAAATATATTAATAATCACTTTAAATATGAGTCTTTCTATACAATGGAGTACTGCTCAGCCATAAAGATAAGCTTAAGACATTTATAACTAAATGGATGCAACTTGAAGCTATACTCTTAAATGAAATAAAGTACACACATGTGTAAATATAACATTGTCTCTCTGGTGTAAGAAATTAAAAATGTAAATATGGACCAAAACTAATGACAGACATTGTGAAATAAGAAAAAAAATATTAATAGGAAGGGGGAAGTAGAAAGGGAAAGGGAGAAAGAAAGGAAGGAAAATGAAAACTGAAAAAAGAAGGAAAAAATGGAAACAGAGCTTTTGTAAATAAGGAAAGGGAAGGGGGTTTGAAGGGAGGGGAGAGGAATGGGGGAAAAAAAGGAATCAAAATACGCCATATAAAGGTACAAATTCCCTGTGATGAATGTGATCGTTATGTAAACCTAAATTGTCCCAATAAAATGAAAAATGAAAAGAGAAAAACTCATGATACTCAATACTAGTAAATTAAAAATTAATTTTATTCTAGATATAGAAATTAAAACATGAAGATTGCCATTAGGCATTAAGAAAAAGAAGGAACCAACAATAATTATCACAAAAATTCTATTTAATTATAAAAATCCAATACAATAAAAATTTACCCTGACCTGAAGTGTGCTGAGTTGCTACATTAATTTCAGATAAACCAAAATTTATGAAAATAAAATTTATCATGGATAAAAGGAATCAACCAATAACAATAAATGGACCAATTATCTGAGAACAAATAACAATCTTAAGTATAAATTGATCCATAAAAGTCAAATCCAAAACAAAAATTTGTGAAGAGAAATATTCACTATTGTAGTTGAGGATTTCAACATTATTCTCTCAGTACATTATAGGTTAAGGAGACAGAAAGTAAGGATATAGCTGGTCTATAAAACAACATTATCAATTATGTAGTGCTCTCTAGTACTAACAAATTCCTTAATGTAATTTACATTTATAGAATTTTTCACACAAAACAACAAGAAAATGCATTTTTCTCAAATCCAGAGTATTCACCAAAGTAGACATGTTTGAGACCTTTGGCACAAATCAATTGACTTTAAATATGGGGGGTTATTTATGGACTTTTTATACTTTTCCATTGGTCAACGTGTCTGTTTTTATGCCAGTGTCATGCTACTTGATTACTGAAAATATATCTTGCAGGATATTTGTAGTATATAATATTAATTCTTCTAACCCATGAACACAGGATATCTAACCATTTATCTTCAATTTCTTCTACCAGTGTATTTTAATTTGCAGTATATAGACATATATCAAGAAAACAAAATTTTACATTAAAAAGGACAAAATAATTGAATAGATATTTCTCAAAAGCAGATCTACAAATAGCCAACAGATATATGAAAAGATGGCCAATATTACTTATCACCTGAGAAATGTAAATCAAAATTACAATGATATCACCTTTCATTTGTGAGACTGGCTGTTTCCTAAAAAAGAAAAAAAAATGGTTGATGAGTATTTGGAGAAAGATAAAACCATGTACACTGTTAGTGAAATAGAAATTACTATAGCCATTATAGAAGACAGTTTGGAGGCTTTATAAAATAAATTAAAATTAGAGTCACCCTTGGTATATGTACAAAAGAAATGAAATCAGTATCTTGAAAAGATATCTGTACTCCCATATACACTGAAGGATTATTCATAATAATCAAGATATGGAAACATCTTACATATATAATATATTAATATATATACATGCATGCAAAAATAGAAAAAATAGAATAGTTTTAGATTTATAAAAGAAGGAAATCCCCACATTTGGGATAACATGTAACTTCTCACCAAACACACATAAATGTTAATTTTGTAATGTGACAGAAATATTTATTAGTTTGATGCACACATATAGATGAATCATGTTCATCTATATAAACCATATATACACATATATAGTCAATCATACCTCAATAGAAGTGGAAACATGTTTTAAACTACATAAAAATGAAAATAAAAATTGTCAAAAATTTGAGGACACATTATGGTCAATGCTTAGATATAAATTTATAGCATTAAATGCCTGTAATAGATTAAAATAAATATTAAAAATTAGAAAATTAAATATTTACCTTAGACAAGTAAAGAAAAGAATAATACAAAATAACAAAGCAAAAAAAAAATCACAGCAGGAACAAATTTAAATGAAAACACAAGAGAAAATCAACAAAACAAAAGCTCCTTCTTTCAACAAAATCATAAAATTGCTAAACCTTTAACCAGCCTAACCAAGAGAAAAGAAAGCTAACATTAATTATTAATATCAGAAACAAAATATGAATCATCATAATTCCTTGAACATTAAATGGCTATAAAAGTAACATTATGAGCAATGTTATACCAACAAATTTGATAATTTAGATAAAATAGATTTATCTTCCTTAAAAGACACAGATTATCAGAATTCACACAAGGTACAAAGGAAATTTTAGTAGACCTGCAAGTGAAAGTAATCGTATCAATTGTAAATAAGAAAACTCAAGATACAGGTGGCTTCACTGGTAAATTCTACAAGCGTTTTAGGATTCTAAATCATATCAATTTTCTATAATTTCTTCCATAAAACATATAAATATACATAGCATATATAAATATATGTCACACACAACTATTCAATTGTTGGAATATTTCCTACCCTGTTCTATGCAGACTGGATTCGAAGCTTCAAGTGGCAGGGAAATTTGAATGTGTCAAGCACAAATGACTTTTTAAGCAGTGAAACTAGTATGACACCATAATGGCGCATACATGACACACCACTATGCAGTCAAAACCCATAAAACTTGATAGCAGAAAAGAATTAATCTTTTTTTATGCAAATGTTTCAAAAATCATTTAGCCAATAAGAAGATTCCAGAAGGAAAGCAGAAAATGGAAAATCAGACTGTTAAACAAATATCACTGAGAGTAGGGAGTAAAAAAGTAACTTCTGAAGTCAATGGAGTCTATCAAATTAAAGGGAAGAGAAATCTCACATAAGTACCGTATTTTGGTTCATACTTTTTGTCCATGAGGCTATGAGTTATCAACTGTGACACCTAAATGTATTTATGCTGCGATTAACTAAGCAGATAAATAATGGTATAAATCAGGCTTCTCACTATAGGAGTCAGAATCTCTATATAAGCAAAGGCAGGAGCCTATAATGAGGAAAATGGTCGCTGGAGACATCAGTATGAACTCATGTTTAATTTCACGTAGACATAGATTGTTTCCTATATTAATATTTATGCATACCCATATCCATACACAGGTTAGTTTTGGCACATTTAATTTTTGTTTTGCCATGTGAAAGAGGCTAGAAGGAAGGCCAACCACTAGCAATAATTCCCATATCTAAGCTTTAAATACTGTTCCTATAAAAGAAACCAGTTTTCCTTGTCAAGTGGCCAATGTCAGCCTTGGGCCAGCATTGCACCCAGCCCCCCACCTCCCCCCAAAATGAAGGTCGCTGTAGTGGTGCACTCCTGTAATCCAACCACTGGGGAAGCCAAGGCAGGAGGATCACTGCAAGTTCGAGCCCAGCCTGGACTACAGACTGCGGCTTTGTCTCAAAAATCAGAAAACAAACACAGACCAAAAAAAAATAAGACAAAGAAATTATAACATTTAGAATGTGTCAAAGGAACATAGAACCCATGTAAACTCCCAATGGCCAAAGTGGGACCAATCAGAGCAAGGCACATATAATTTGATTGTAAACCAAAGTATAAAATAAATTATCTTAGTCTAAATTGATGTAAATAAATATGTGTCTATTCTTCCTATTTGATACAAAGGAGCATAGATAAATAATCCATACAGAAAAAATTCAAATAAAGTCATGTATGTAGATTCTGAGACTGAAGTGTAGTGGACCATAGCCTACTCCTCCTCATTAATTGTCACACACACATACACACACACCTACACACACACATACACACACACCTACATACACACATAGTCCCAGTCAAACAATGAGATGAGTCAGAAATCATAGCTGAGGGGTGTTCCACAAAATACTTGGCCAGTAAACACTCTTTGTACTTCCTAATAATCATGAAAACAAAGGAAGTCTGAAAAGGCTATCACAGCCAAGAGCCTGCAAAATCCTCCATTCTGAGAAAGACTGTCAGGTCCCAGGAAGATAATTCCTTGAATGTAGCTCTCTTTGTCTTTGTTCTTGGGTTCTTCCTGGTACTGAAAGAAATGTGCTATGTTTCTTCATCCTTTTAAAGATCTTGGACAGGTTTAATGACAATTTATGACACTTAATTACTTTTCAAAAGCTAATCTATAAATGTTAATGGATTGAGTTTCTTCTTAGTTACAATCCTTGGCTCCCATGCCATCAAGGTGGCTGAGCCACTATTATTTTTGATAAAAAGATTTATATAGACTATACTGCTTATTTGAGGTAGTAATAATTACATAGTCCAAGGAAGGAAGAAAAGCTACTTAGTGCTATTTCATAATGAGCTGCTCTTCTAGTGTGATTGTGTGTGTGCGTGTGATCATGTAAGCATTATATTTGTGTGTATGAGAGTCAGAGAAGAAAAAAGAGAGACAGAGAGAGGGATAGGAGGGGGGATTAAAGAATTTCATTGTAGAAAGAATTACTGAGCCAAGGAAAAGAGAAAAGTATTCTCCATGAAAACCCTGAAGGTAGCAGTCAAATGTGTATTCAGCTGAGGGTTTTTCTGGTTTTGCATTTTCTGATAACTTTCACAATAATAAAATAAATAGGCAAAATAGACTTTTACTATGTGCCAGAAGAACTCAACTTCTGATAGGTCAATACATGTTGACGTTATTCACAATGATTTGCCAAAGAAGGAAACTTGACTTAAAATACATTAGGAATAACTCATTTTAAAACTGAATTATTATATGGCACTTATAGGTCTAAGCCTCAAATATATCCCTTATATGAGGAATATATATATAAAACATTATATATATATTTATATATATGATAAGACTACTAGATAAATGACATGTCTCAACCTGGGCTACAAATCAGTGAATGATATTATCACTGTTATGGTTATTAAGACTGTCATGACAGCCTTAGCTCTGAGTTCCCTCTTGTTGGACTAAGCTATGTCCTGAGGGGTTCATCTCTCCTACACTTCACTAAATAATCTCATTCTCTCCCTTAGAGAGCAAATATTAATCATTCAGAAATGCAATGAGCTGGAAAAATAAATACCAGAAGGAGAAAGGTGCCTGAGAACTTTAAATAAAATAAATTAGTTTCAATTTGAAAACTAAATGAGTTGATCTAAAAATCTTTTTTCATTTCTCTTCCATACCACTTTTGCGCTTTTTTTTGCCATCTTTATAACTCTGCCCCTGCAATAGGAGAGTCTATTTAACTGATTTTGATTTGTCATCTTCTGTTTTAGAACATATCTTACCACTAATAAATATTTTCACATAGTACATTTATTTTCCTCAATTGTCCTTCTAAGTATTTATTGATGGTTTCCTACTGAACCTGCACAATTAGGTTTTGAAAAGTCATAGAGACAGCAAGGTGTGAGCATAAAAATCAAAGTTAAATAATTCATTCTGTAACTACTAGAAAATATGAAATTTCCCCTTAACAAAGGAGCAAACATTTTCAATTTTGGCAAATTTTTAAATATTATAATCAAGTTAAGAATGATTTTTTTAAACTTAAATGTTTTCCAAATATATACATATATAATAATAGAATGTTATTGAGCATTATATTTTATAATATGAATAGTTCAGTAAGTTTTAATGTTATCCTAATTTACAAAAAGGATCTTTAAATTTTGGCTGGAATTTGTATTTTCTTTTAACCAACACTTAAAATTTGCAACATCTAATCCATAATTATTCAAGAGTTACATGAATTATTACAAGGTGAAATATTTATGAAGGCAAGTAGAAACACACATTCATAAATAGTACATTTTTATTATTAAAATGTTTTTCTTTATTCTGGAACGTGTTCCATGATAATACCATTTCCTTATTCTTTCTAACTTGTTCCTGTGTATATTTTATTTTAATTTAAGTATTATTTTCCCAGGAATCTTCTCTGACTCTGATATCTGAAGTTATAAATTCAAGAACTGTGCTTCCACAACAGTTTCACCAACCTATCATTCATGCATTTGCTAGATTTCCTAGCTCACAGATAGGCAGTCAATTTTTCTAGCCCATAGATGCTTTTAAGTTGTCATCAAGAAAATTCATAACTTACTTGGAACTCAGGGACTTCTAAAAATTTATCTCTAAATGGTGAGGGACCAAGGGCTATAATTTGAGGGGAAGAGTTATTCTGTCAGGTAACGCTTTCTTACAAAACATATTTTTCTACGTAAGTCTTGCTAAAGGGCCTAGAACTTAATTGGAAGATCTTGAGAAACTACTGAGGAAATTTAGGTAAGAAGGAGGGATACTCAGTTTTCCTTTGGAGAATAGGTAATATAGGAGATAAAAATTTTCAAGGATTAATAATTAGCAATACTTGAGTAGTAAGAGAGAAAAACAATGATCAAGGCTGACAACTTCCTCAATTATATTGACAACTAAAGATTTCGACACATTAGTGATTGTTATTCTTTCATGTGTTTGTGAGAGACACTTTTCTCCTTTATGTTGTACAGTGAAACCTACATTTTTATTCTAGATCTTATATTGTAACTAGTTTTAAAAATTACTTTTTAATTTCAACTGTAATTGTTTTTACTTGCTTTGGAAACACTGAGGTTGGAGATTAAATACATTTTGGGGCGAATGAGGAAGGGATTAGAGAACATAAAATATGAGCCTGTTGATATTTTTTAAAAGTACATTTTCATTACTTAAAAATCTTAAACTTACTTCTACTGAAAACTATAGTTGCTATTATCAAATTTGTCCATTGTACCTTTAAATGACTAAGTTTATATTTTATTCATCAGCTCCTAGTGCTAAATAATATAAAATGGTTCTTGGAAATCTAATTAGTATGTGATATTTGTTATGTGTTTAGTTTTAATCCTAAATTTAAAACTACATAAAATGCCAAGAAGCTAGAAGGCATGAATCACCCCATCCTTTCTTCAAATTGGGTTCCAGTAGAAGAATTACGGGGCTCTGAGAAGTATCACCAAAATAGATTAATATGTCCATGTACATCTGTGAGTACAACTATTGATAAAGGGTAAGTCAAAGGTCATTGAATCAGTTGATTCCTTTTTGATAGCTACTATATCATTATAATCATTATAATCTTGTGTGTGTGTGTGTGTGTGCGCGAATAGAAGTTTCTAGGAACATATAAAAACTATAACTTCCAAAATATGATACTCTGGCTTCTATTGCAGAGAGAAATTTAAGACATTTAGAAAATGAGAAAATAAAATACTATGAAGGTAACTAATTTTTCTTAATAATAAAAGCTAAATGTTTTCTAGTCCCAAGTATTACACTCTTTAATAGTAACTAAGATTTTTATTGTACAATTATATTCAAATTTAAATATTTAATATTTTAAAATTATTTGCCAGTTGCAGTGAAGAGTTTTTCTTGGATAATTAGTAAGATTACATAAATAGAAAAATGCCCCTTATTGTATGTTCATCTGCGTATTCTACTAAAACTGTGACTGTAATTCTTAAGTATTTGTTTTAGTTTAATAATCTTATTATTAATGGAGTAAAGACTTTTTTTCT